GGAAGGACACTATATCCTACTTAAAGGGTCCATCCAACAAGATCTAACAATTGTAAATATCTATGCCCCTAACATGAGAGCAGCCAATTATATAAGCCAATTAATAACAAAAGCAAAAAAACACTGACAATACAACTAGGGGATTTTAACACCCTCCTCACTGAAATGGACAGATCATCTAAGCAAAAGATCAACAAGGAAATAAAGACTTTAAATGACACACTGGACCAAATGGACTTCACAGATATATTCGGAACATTCCATCCCAAAGCAACAGAATACACATTCTTCTCTGGTGCCCATGGAACGTTCTCCAGAATAGATCACATCCTAGGTCACAAATCAGGTCTCAGCCGGTACCAAAAGACTGCAATCATTCCCTGCATATTTTCAGACTACAATGCTTTGAAACTAGAACTCAATCACAAGAGGAAAGTCGGAAAGAACTCAAATACACGGAGGCTAAAGAGCATCTGACTAAAGAATGAATGGGTCAAGCAGGAAATTAAAGAAGAATTAAAAAAAATTCATGGAAACCAATGAAAATGAAAACACAACTGTTCAAAGTCTTTGGGATGCAGCAAAGGCAGTCCTAAGAGGAAAGTATATAGCAATACAAGCCTTTCTCAAGAAACAAGAAAGGTCTCAAATACACAACCTAACCCTACACCTAAAGGAGCTGGAGAAAGAACAGCAAATAAAGCCTAAACCCAGCAGGAGAAGAGAAATAATTAAGATCAGAGCAGAAATCAATGAAATAGAAACCAAAAGAACAGTAGAACAGATCCATGAAACTAGGAGATGGTTCTTTGAAAGAATTAAGATTGATAAACCCCTGGCCAGACTTATCAAAAAGAAAAGAGAAATGACCCAAATAAATAAAATCATGAATGAAAGAGGAGAGATCACAACCAACACCAAAGAAATACAAACAATTATAAGAACATATTATGAGCAACTATATGCCAGTAAATTGGATAATCTGGAAGAAATGGACGCATTCCTAGGGATGTATAAACTACCAAAACTGAACCAGGAAGAAATAGAAAACCTGAACAGACCTATAACCACTAAGGAAATTGAGGCAGTAATCAAAAATCTCCGAACAAATAAGAGCCCAGAGTCAGATGGCTTCCCAGGGGAATTCTACCAAACATTTAAAGAAGAATTAATACCTATTCTTCTGAAACTGTTCCAAAAAATAGAAACGGAAGGAAAACTTCCAAACTCGTTTTATGAGGCCAGCATTATCTTGATCCCAAAACCAGACAAAGACCCCATCAAAAAGGAAAATTACAGACTAATATCCTTGATGAACATGGATGCAAAAAATCTCACCAAAATACTAGCCAATAGGATCCAACAGTACATTAAAAGGATTATTCACCACGACCAAGTGGGATTTATCCCTGGACTGCAAGGTTGATGCAACATCCGCAAATCAATCAATGTGATACAATACATTAATAAAAGAAAGAACAAGAACCATATGATCCTTTCAATAGATGCAGAAAAAGCATTTGACAAAGTATGGCATCTTTTCTTGATCAAAACTCTTCAGAGTATAGGGACAGAGGGTACATTCCTCAATATCATAAAAGCCATCTATGAAAAACCCACAGCAAATATTCTCAATGGGGAAAAACTGAAAGCTTTACCCCTAAGGTCAGGAACACAGCAGGGATGTCCACTATCACCACTGCTATTTAACATAGTATTAGAAGTGCTAGCCACAGCAATCAGACAACAAAAAGAAATAAAAGGCATCTGAATCGGCAAAGAAGAGGTCAAACTCTCACTCTTTGCTGATGATATACTTTATATGGGAAACCCAAAAGACTCCCCCCCCAAAAATACTAGAACTCATACAGGAATTCAGTAAAGTGGCAGGATATAAAATCAATGCACAGAAATCAGAGGCATTCCTATACCCCAACAACAAGACAGAAGAAAGAGAAATTAAGGAGTCGATCCCGGGCGCCTGGGTGGCTCAGTTGGTTAAGCGACTGCCTTCGGCTCAGGTCATGATCCTGGAGTTCCGGGATCGAGTCCCACATCGGGCTCCCTGCTCAGCAGGGAGTCTGCTTCTCCCTCTGACCCTCCTCTCTCTCATGTGCTCTCTCTCTCTCATTCTCTCTCTCAAATAAAATAAATAAAATCTTAAAAAAAAAAAAGGAGTCGATCCCATTTACAATTGCGCCCAAAACCATAAGATACCTAGGGATGAATCTAACCAAAGAGGCAAAGAATCTGTACTCAGAAAACTATAAAATACTCATGAAAGAAATTGAGGAAGACACAAAGAAATGGAAAAACATTCCATGCTCATGGATTGGAAGAACAAATATTGTGAAGATGTCAATGCTACCTAGAGCAATCTACACATTTAATGCAATCAAATACCATCAACTTTTTTCAAGGAAATGGAACAAATAAACCTAAAATTTGTATAGAACCAGAAAAGACTCCGAATAGCCAAGGAATGTTGAAAAAGAAAAGCAAAGCTGGTGGCATCACAATTCCAGACTTCAAGCGCTGTTACAAAGCTGTCATCATCAAGACAGTATGGTACTGGCACAAAAACAGACACACAGATTAATGGAACAGAACAGAGAGCCCAGAAATGGACCCTCATCTCTATGGTCAACTAATCTTCAACAAAGCAGGAAAGAATGTCCATTGGAAAAAAAGACAGTCTCTTCAACAAATGGTGTTGGGAAAATTGGACAGCCACATGCAGAAGAATGAAACTGAACCATTTCCTTACACCAAACACAAAAATAGACTCAAAATGGTTGAAAGACCTAAATGTGAGACAGGAGTCCATCAAAATCCTAAAGGAGAACACAGGCAGCAACTTCTGCAACTTCAGCTGCAGCAATTTCTTCCTAGGAACATCGCCAAAGGCAAGGGAAGCAAGGGCAAAAATGAACTATTGGGACCCCATCAAGATAAAAAGCTTTTGCACAGCAAAAGAAACAGTCAACAAAACCAAGAGACAACCGACAGAATGGGAGAAGATATTTGCAAATGACCTATCAGATAAAGGGCTAGTATCCAAAATCTATAAAGAACTTACCAAACTCAACACCCAAAGAACAAATGATCCAATCAAGAAATGAGCAAAAGATATGAACAGACATTTTTCCAGAGAAGACATCCAAATGACCAACAGACACATGAAAAAGTGCTCAACATCGCTCGGCATCAGGGAAATCCAAATCAAAACCTCAATGAGATACCACCTCACACCAGTCACAGATTGGCTAAAATTAACAAGTCAGGAAACGACAGATGTTGGCGGGGATGCGGAGAAAGGGGAACCCTCCTACACTGTTGGTGGGAATGCAAGTTGGTGCAGCCACTCGGGAAAACAGTATGGAGTTTCCTCAAAAAGTTGAAAATAGAGCTGCCCTAGGACCCAGCAATTGCACTACTGGGTATTTACCACAAAGATACAAATGTAGTGATCCAAAGGGGTATGTGCATCCTGATGTTTATAGCAGCAATGTCCACAATAGCCAAACTGTGGAAAGAGCCAAGATGTCCATCGACAGATGAATGGATAAAGAAGAGGTGGTATATATATATATATATATATATATATATATATATATATATACACAATGGAATATTATGCAGCCATCAAAAGGAATGAAATCTTGCCATTTGCAATGATGTGGATGGAAGTGGAGGGTATTATGCTGAGCAAAATAAGTCAATCACAGAAAGACATGTATCATATGACCTCACTGATATGAGGAATTCTTAATCTCAGGAAACAAACTGAGGGTTGCTGGAGTGGGGGGGTAGGGAGGGATGGGGTGGCTGGGGGATAGACATTGGGGAGGGTTTGTGCTATGGTGAGCGCTGTGAATTGTGTAAGACTGATGAATCACAGATCTGTACCTCTGAAACAAATATGTTAAATGTTTAAAAAAAAACCAAAACAAAAAAGAAGATAGTAGGAAGGGAAAAATGAAGGGGAGGAAATCGGTGGGGGATATGAACCATGAGAGACTATGGACTCTGAGAAACAAACTGAGGGTTCTAGAGGGGAGGAGGGTGGGGGGATGGGTTAGCCTGGTGATGGGTATTAAGGAGGGCATGTACTGAATGGAGCACTGGGTATTATATGCAAACAATCATGGAACACTACATCAAAAACTAATGATGTAATGTATGGTGATTAACATAACATAATTTTTTAAAAAAAATGCACTCTGAAGTCCATCCTTCCTCTGCTTTTCCATTATCCCCACCCCCGTGGATTCTTGAGCAATGTTTTAGCTGACTTTTCTGACTGTGTCTTTGCTCTCTAAAATCTTCCCTAGTCCCCAGTGCCAGAGCCACCCTTCAGGAAACATCACTTTCATCATGCAACTTCCCTGCTCCAATTTCTGTTCAGACTCCTCTCTGTGGTTCCCCAGGTCCACCTTATTTATCCAATCTGAATCACCTCTCTCCCTAACATTCCAGTCAATCTGAAATCTGACCTTTCACAAGACTGAGCCTTGCTAATTTGTGTCCCCCTGTCGTAACCTTGCCTGAGTCATCACCCTGATCCATCCCATCTTTTTCCTTCATGAATAATCAGCTCCAATCATGCAAATTCTAACTCTTCTATGATACCTTTTCCAACTACCATGGTTTTCACAGATTTTACCCTCCTTGAGATTCTGTATCATTTTCGATTCTGTACCGGGGGCTGCAACATGCATTTATAGACATTTCTGTATTGTTTCAGGTGGACCCAACTAATCCCATTAGATAGTGAAATTTTTAGGTTACATTTCTTTTGGCATGTCCCCTAACTCAGTGGTAAGCACAGAACAGACACCAAATATTTTTTTATAGGGCCCAATCATAACACATCCCTACTTTTAAAATTCTGTAGTTTTAAGGAAATTTTTCTTCAAATGATAACTTTTATTGCAGTTATCTAATCTTGATGCAAAAACTTCTAAGAGGCATATAATCAGACAAAGTAAGGCAATCAATTTTAACATAGTTACATGTTTTTATTACATAAACATTACAATATTCCTTGTGGGAGCTGGTCTTCAGTTTTGCCTCTTGCTTTTATGGAATGTCAAATATCTGCAGAAATTGTCTAAGAATGATTTATGAAACACCCTTTCACCCCTACCAAAAAAGCTTCAATGCCTACATTTTTCCAATCAGATTCCTGAAGAAAAAAATAGGTTTTGTTTATTTGACAGTGTAATACATAAATTTTCTTTCAAGGTATAAAAAAAAGACAGACTTTTAAAATAAGAGTCTCCTTTTGTTTACAAAGTTCTATAAAAATACATTAAGTATGCTCATGTTTGTCCCTTGACTTAATATTCCAGTTTACCAGAAACAAAAAATAACAATAAACAAAGATATGCAAACTACATTAATCCTGCAGCAATATAATGTCCACATCATCATGAACACCTTGCAAAAGTAGCTCTCCTGGGTATGTAACAATCTTTCTTCGTTTTGCAGCTTTGAGAGTTCCCACCAATGCTTCAAAGAGGTTGGCACATTTGTCATCTCGGAAGAGGACCCCAAATTTTACACTTAACTTCCCATCAGCATCTAATTTGAGAAAATACAATGTTAGCCAATGCAAAGTCTTGCCCCCATATATGGTAGATTTATGTAATCTTTAAAAAACATCTAACTATAAGTTAACCAAGATTACAATTTAACAGTTCACACTCATAAATTCAATGTCATCTCTTTCCAGACCCAAAAGTGATGAAATAATACCATGTTCTGTACACCTCCTAGCCTTAGGATCATCTGGACAAAGACTAGAAGTGAACTAAAACCCACTTACAAAAAGTGAATGTGTTACAGTGTTATTACTGTGGACCAATTCCCCTCTGTCTACATTTTGACTTTTTTTTTTAATTATCAGTTTGAGTGAGAGAGAGTGTGTGCGCCTGCTGCGTCTGCGCATGAGTGGGTGGAGAGACAGAGGGAGAGACTCCTTCAGCCGACTCCCTGCTGAATGCAGAGCCAAAGAAGTGGGGCTCCATCCCAGGACCCTGAGACCATGACCTGAGCTGAAACCAAGAGGCGGACGCTTAACTTGATTGAGCCACCCAGGCGCCCCTACATTTTGATTTTTTATTTGTGGTGTTGTTGAATCAATAACAAAATAACAAATATAAGAAAAGGTTTGGGTCGGGAGCAGTGTTTCTCTAAGTGTGTTCTGAACACACTCAGAGCCCCAGGGAGGGACTGGTGACCTTAAAAATGAAGATATCTGTATTTACCAGATCCCTAGATTATACAGATTGGAGACCAGTTTTTAATATAGATGTTAAAAATTAAGGTAAGCCCTAAAAAGAAATGAACCATCAAGCTACAAAAAGACATGGTGGAACCTTAAATATGTATTACTAAGAAAAAGGCGGCAATCTGAAAAGGCTATGTGTTGTATGATTCCAACTATAGGACATTCTGGAAAAAGCAAAACTATGGAAAAAGATAAAACTAAATAAAAAGATCAGTGGGTTTCAGGGGTTGGAGTAGGGGAGAGATGAACAGGCAGAACACAGAGGATTTTTAGAGCAGTGACTATACTCTGTATGATACTATAATGATTGATACATGTCATTAAACATTATCTAATCCCATTGAATGTACAACACTAAGCGTGAACTATAAACTATGAACTGTGGTTGATGATGTGTCCATGTAGATGATCAATTGTAATAAAAGTGCAATTCTGCTGGGGGATGTTGGTAATGGGGGAGGCTATGCATGTGTGGGGATAGCAGGTATACAGGAAATGTATAAAGTAAAAAGTAAGTCTTTTAAAAAAAATGAGATAAACAAAAGGTGGATCTTTGATTAAAAATCAATCAACTGGAAACTTGGAGATAAGAATAATATGAAACACCTCCCCATTGTTGGTTGATTGCTTTGATCTACCTGCTAAACTTCTGACCCCCTTCCTTCAGCACTGCTCCACATTCTCCCCTCCAATAGCTGTGCCTGCTCTCAAGGACACGGCCATCACAGTGAGGGAGACTATTTCGTGGCCAAGGGTTCTTGAGTTCCCGTGAGAACTTCTAACCTGAGACTTAGTATATTCCTACTGTGAGTGCAGCACTGTGCTGGGCAAGTAGAGGGAAGTAGAGAATCACTTTCTAGCTTTCAAAGAAATGGCTTCAGTTCCAACGAGGAAATAAGAAATATACACATATCAGTGAAGCAACAGGACAAAGCAGTATGTGACTGGATGTGCAGTAAGTAGCCAAGACAGGACATCCTACAGTTTGGAGAAGGGTAAAATGACTCTGGGCTGGAATGGGAAGGGAAGACTTCCGGAAGGAGGCGGTACCGGTGCTGGCTTTTACAGGGAGTGTAATATGGAGCTTTTCCTTTTTTTTTTTTTAAGATTTTATTTATTTATTTGAGAGAGAGAGAGTGAGAAACAGCATGAGAGGGGAGAGAGTCAGAGGGAGAAGCAGGCTCCCCGCTGAGCAGGGAGCCCCAAGCAGGACTCGATCCCGGGACTCCAGGATCATGACCTGAGCCGAAGGCAGTCGCTGAACCAACTGAGCCACCCAGGCGCCCTAGAGCTTTTCATTTTTTAAAAAAGACTTATTTTAATTTGAGAGAGAGAGAGAGAGAGTGGGGGGAGGGGCAGGAGAGACTCTTCAAGCAGACTCCCCGCTGAGTGCAGAGCCGGAAATGGGGCTTGATCCCACGACCCATGAAATCATGATCTGAGCCCAAACCAAGAGTTGGATGCTCAACCAACTGAGCCACGCAGGTGTCCCCAGGTTACATTTCTTAAAGGCGCAAAAGGCAGAAACCTGGATATAATCTTGGAGTTCTGTCCACTCACTCCTCAATCTCATAAGTGATTCCATTTCCTCTGTATCTTCTGTTGCTCCAGCCTCTTCTCATGGACAATTAATTTCTCGGTTTAGGCTGGAATTGATTCTCAAGCGGATTAACTGCAAGACTCCTTGCCAGCCTCCCGTTCCGCATTTTTGTCCCCCAGTACATCCTCCATATTGGTGCGGAATAAAATATGTGAAAGAAACCTTTAAGATGCAAATCTGTTTCTCTCTCTCTCTCTTTTTTTTTTTTTTAAATAAACTCTACCCCCAAGTTGGGGCTTGAACTCACGACCCCGAGATCAAGAGTCACAGACTCAACAGACTAAGCCAGCTAGGAGCCCCTGATCGATACTCTTCTCCTCTAATCTTTCAGTGGCTCCCTACCACCTTCAAATAGTGACGCCCTTGGCGTTCCAGATAAGACCCTTCATGCTCTGGCCCTTGCACTCCTCTCTCGCCTGGCCTCCTGCCGTATCGTTCTATGCACCTTTTGATCCAGTCAAAATCAAATGACTTGCTGTTACCCAAGGTGACATGAGAGATCCTGCCCTGGCAGTTTTGCCCATGTTGAGCCATCTGCCCAGCATCCCAGAGCCCTTTCTCTAGCTAATTCTTTTTCTTCCAGAATGGGCTCAAATGTCACCTTTTCTGAGAAGTGCTCTGTGATTCCCTCAGTCAAGTTAATAACTTCTTATAAAATTAAGTATATATCAAAGCACTCACCATCAATTACAGTAATAATAGTTAATATGTATTGAGTCCTTGCTATGCTCGTAGAACTGTTCAATGCATTTTATAGTAATTAAAACTCCCTTAATCCTTATTTCATGGAAGGTAAGGCACAATTCATTGCAAGAAGCACCATTATTTTATGTTCCAATTAAACTGCCAATTTAATTATAGCACAACATGGATTATAAAACACATTCTTATTTTAGAGATGTTAAAGCTTGGGGAAAAAAGTGTCTTTGAATCACTGAAATAGAGTATTATTATCCAAATAAGGAAACCAAGGCATAAAAATGGTTAGCAATGTGCCCAAGGTCACACAGTAAGTGGCAGGGGAGCTGGGATTCATTCCTAGAGAGCCTGACTCCAGAGCCCATGCTCTTAACTACTTCCCCATACGTGCTTCTAGCTCATTTGTCTGTCTTCCTGCTACCTAAAGAGGTCCACAGGGGCTGAGATGGAATTTTGTTTATTTTCATATGTCCAGCACTTGAGCACAAAGACAGCACTCAAGAAATATTTGTTGAATGAAAGAATTTAAATCTCCAAATAATCTTTATCCACTTAAATTTTTTTCCACTGGATGAAAAATGAAAGACTTTAAAGAATTTCATTTTAAAAGAAATAGATAAATAGGTTAACTAACTAGAATTTAAGTAAAAATTTGGAGAAAAAATAAAAGAAGTAGATAAAACTAAATTTGTCAATTTCCAGCTTCACCTAATACATTATATTTAGATTAGTCTAAAAATGATTCACCTAAATCATAATTTACAAAATTATCCCAAACACAACTTACATAATTAACCATAATCTGTCCACAGATAACCTATCTCCATAGATGCTTTCCAGCTCAAGAATTCATTTATTTCTAGGAACAGGTAAATCAAGGAGGCTTAGGGAAGCTGCAAAGTTCAAGACGTTTCATCCTTACAGAAATTATGATAATTACTGTGTAGTCTTCTAGTTTGTAAAGCTGCTAATTCTGAAGTGCAGGTTCAGTTTGCCCTAGTAGAATAATAACTGTTCTAGGGTAAAGTCAGAATTTTAAATGCAATTGAATCTGACCAATAAACACTAGGCTAACATGAAGACAGATCTAGGAGAGAGGAAAATCCTACAGATCATTCGAAATACATCCTTAATATCTTTAACAATCTAAACAATAATACTACTCCCAAGAGCATGACCTCACGGAGCTCCAAACTGGAAAGGTAGAAATGAGGAACACGGGTTTCTTTCACTATTGAAAATAAGATTCACAGGGTGCCTGGGTGGTTCAGTTGGTTCGGTATCTGCCTCTCGCTCAGGTCATGATCCCCCAGGGTCCTGGGATCGAGTCCCGCATCAGGCTTTGCTCGCTGGGGAGTCTGCTTCTCCCTCTCCCTGCTTGTGCTCATGCGCTCTCTCTTTCTTTCTCTCTCTCTCAAATAAATAAAATCATAAAAAAAAATAAAGAAAAGATTCACAACAACAATGGAGAACTAGTACAGGGGACATTTGATACTAATGGTGCAAGGGAATTTTCCAAGTATGTCTTTTTTTTTTAAAGATTTATTTATTTATTTGAGAGAGCTAGAATGAGAGAGAGAGAAAGTACATGAGAGGGGGGAGGGTTAGAGGGAGAAGCAGACTCCTCGCTGAGCAGGGAGCCCAATGCGGGACTCGATCCTGGGACTCCAGGACCATGACCTGAGCCGAAGGCAGTCGCTCAACCAACTGAGCCACCCAGGCACCCCCCAAGTATGTCTTATTTCAAGTGATTTGTGATTCAAAAGCAAACTGAGCTGTAAGTAAGAAAATTCAAGCTATAATGACAAAAACAACTCTTTCGCGGTACTTTTTAAAGCTGTTTTTCACTTACAATGATGTAATTTTATTTAATTTTTTTATATGATGTAATTTTAAAACTTTGAGTTCCATTATCCTAGTTGTTGCTGAATATGTCTATTGCTCTTACAATTTTCAGAACGTTCCTGAACTCCTGTATATCTTATCTGAGATGTACAGATCTAAAGCTACAAACATAATAGATACTTTCATTACAACTTGGAAAAGGACACTAATACTACCAATTTCACATGGCACTAATTTCACAGTAGCTGCTTATATGTTGCTGATTTAAAAAAACCACGTAGGGGCATCTGTGTGGCTCAGTCAGTTAAGGGTCCAACTCTTGATTTCAGCTCAGGTCATGATCTCAGGGTCATGGGATCAAGTCCCGAGTTCAGCTCCAACTCAGCAGGGAGTCTGCTTGAGATGCTCTCCCTCTGTCCCTTCCCCAGCTTGTGCACTCTCTCTCTCTCCCGCTCTCTCTAAAATAAATCAGGGGCGCCTGAGTGGGGCGCCTGGGTGGCTCAGTCATTAAGCGTCTACCTTCGGCTCAGGTCATGATCCCAGGGTCCTGAGATCGAGCCCCACATCGGGCTCCCTGCTCAGTGGGGAATCTGCTTCTCCCTCTTCCTCTGCCTGCCACTCTGCCTACTTGTGCTCTCTCTCTCTCTCTCTCTCTCTCTCTGTCAAATAAATAAATAAGGTCTTTAAAAAATAAAATAAATCTTTAAAAAAAAACACTATGTAAAGGATATGGTTTCTTTTAGTTACATGTACATAAATACCTGGTTATACAAAACTCAAGAATTTGGAGAAAATAAAGACAATTTGAGTCCCTAGTCATTTGGAAGTTTGTAAGATGGTGGCAAGATAAAGCAGAAGAAATGAATTTTAATACTGTGACAAATAAAAATTTGAACTGATTCAATCACCATTCAATGCAGCCAGATTAAAGAAGCACAGCAATTTTCTTTCTATTAAAGGGATGATGGAATATCTCAAACCATTCCTTGCCTCGGAATCATAATACCCCAAAGGCTTTGTCTCCAGAAATCACTCTATCGCTGAGGGCAGAGTTTCTGTAACTATGTCCCGAAGTCCTGGGTGACCCCTTCCTAGGCTTCTACCAAAAAAGCTGGTCCTACCTGCTCTGAGGTAAACTCAGAATACTGTGGCTGTGTTAGAATACTTACTTTTTGAACCCAGACGATGAATTTCCTCCACTAAGAGGTTAATTTCGTGATCCACATTCATTGCTGCCTGAGGGAGAAAAAAAATGCTGATTACCATTTCTATATCCCATTAAGCACATCTTGCCAAATCCAAGGGCTCTTTCTTTCTTTCTTTCTTTCTTTCTTTCTTTCTTTCTTTCTTTCTTTCTTTCTTTCTTTCTTTCTTTCTTTCAGATTTTATTTATTTATTTGACAGAGAAAGAGAGTGAGAGAGCACAAGCAGGGGGAGCGGCAGGCAGAGGGAGAGGGAGAATCAGGCTCCCCGCTGAGCAGTGAGCCCAATGTGGGGCTCAATCCCAGGACCCTATGATCATGACCTGAGCCAAAGGCAGCCACTTAACCGACTGAGCCACCCAGGCACCCTTCTTTTTTTTCCCCCATGTTGCATTTGTCATTGTTAATTTACCACATCCCTCTTCCTAAAAATACTTGTGTGACATACATGACACCGGAGTACCTCCACTTCCCCTCTGTCTTTATAATTGCCCCTTTGTGCTGACCCCACTCTTATTCTACATAGGATATTGGGGAGAATGCAGCACCCACTATTAAACTCTAAGCCCATCTTCATGATGCTCTGCTCTGCACCAAAAACACAATGGTGAGTGACACAGGACCTGCCCTCAGGAAACTCACTGTCCAGAAGCAGAGAAAGACCTAGAATGAATAATGGCAATGTGACAGCGTTCTTTGAGTGGTGGGTCCAAGGCATTATGGGAGCACAAAGGAGGAAGCCACCAAAGACTTTGTAGAGGTCACTGGAGAGATGTGGACCAGGTAGACAGTTGGCAAAGGGTGCTCTATGAGTGGGGAAGAGTGCATGTAAAAGGACAGAAACAAAGGAGAAAAAGCACAGCACATGTGAGGCAGGCTCTAAGCTTCTTAGAAGCTGGAGTACCAAGATAAAGGAACACACTCCCAACCCTCCCAGAGCCTGCAGTCTAGTGGGGAAAGGAGATCAATACAGGGCAATTTTAATATCGTTAGGTGCGATGATGCCTGTGGGTCACACGCAGGGCATCGGGTCCTTCCCTGGGCAGTGTCCGGTGGAGAGCTGGTGGCAAGGACCATTCATCTCAGATAAGGAAGAGGCCAGGACTAACAGGAGCTGTGAGACCTACTTTGGTTCACTTGGTCTTCTCCAGCCTGGGTTCCGCACACCATCATAGCCTCCTCCACCCTATACCCTTGAACTCTGGGCTGCAGCTACATGGAGCTTCTTTCTATTCCTCAAACGCCCCTGGCTCTCCCACCTCCAACCTTCATACATACTGTGTCTTTGACCCCGACTATTGCAGTTCCTCTTTCTCACAGCTAACTCCCACACATCCAGTCCCAGCTTAGATATGACTACCTCCAGGGAGCCTTCCCGGAAACCCTGGTGGAGGAGCCCTCCCCCATAGCATTGTGCACCCTCTCCATTTCAGATGGCTGGAATTACCAGTTTCTCGGCTTTCACCACAAGATGGTAAAGACCCTCGATGCAGGAATCTGACTGTAATGTTCACTGCTGGGTGACACCTGGCACCAAGAGTACAGATTCAATAAATACTGGATTCAAACTGAAAGGACAAGGGCATGAAGGGGAATGAAACACCGCCTGTGGAAACTCTCACCATGGAGTTGCTGATTTGGAGCAAGAGTGTTCAGAGACAGAAAAGGGAGGTAAAGGGACATGGCAAACACCTACAGAAAGGGGGGGGGGCAAGAAATAGGGAAGGAGCAGGTGAGAGAACTCCAACCATGCAGGGTCAAAGAAGTAAAGGCAGTAAAGACAGTTTCCTTAAAAAGGCAGGAACTCAGGGAAAACAGAACATGAGAGAAAGTAGGGGCCACTGGCAGATTATGCAATAATTCAGTCTGTTTTCCAAACAAAGAAGGGACTAAAAAATTGGGGTTGTATGAATGGTTTACTTTGGAGTGACGATTCGGAAGAAATAATTGTATCCAGACAGATTGTAACTAATTCCTGGTAACTCTGAAAAACAAGAATGAAATCTATGTTTAAGTGATGTTGATTGGTACCCCAGGTTTTCTACCAGCTCATAACTAAAAGCACCACTACTCCCTGCTACATTATTTGTGCAAATATTATCATTTAAGAAGTGTCTATTGTGGGGCGCCTGGGTGGCTCAGTCATTAAGCGTCTGCCTTCGGCTCAGGTCATGATCCCAGGGTCCTGGGATGGAGCCCTGCATTGGGCTCCCTGCTCCGCAGGAGGCTTGCTTCTCCCTCTCCCACTCCCCCTGCTTGTGTTCCCTCTCTCGCTGTGTCTCTCTCTGTCAAATAAATAAATAAAATCTTAAAAAAAAAAAAAAGAAGTGTCTATTGTGGTAGTCGCTCTTTCTGCCCATGGGCCCCGTCCCCGTGCTTTAATAAAACCACCTTTTTGCACCAAAAAAAAAAAAAAGTGTTTATTGCAGTAAAATGCAACATCTTGGGTTAATGCATCTACATAAAATTCAGTATCAAAAATTATAGTTTCCCAATATTGAGAGCTTTGTGTTGGTGAAATTATATCTATAACATTATATTCAATTCGAGATAATTTGAGCAATGCTAAAAAGTTAAAATATAATCAGAAGATACAACAGAAAGATAGGCCATGAAAATAATGGTAGAAAAAACCCTGGAGATGTTAGTGTGGTGGACAGCAGTCATTTTCACCTACCAAGCACCCATTCCCCATTCCGGCTCGAGCAGTCTAATTTGTGGGGGGGTCCCGTTTTTCCTTCCTTGTTCTAAACGAATGGAATTTGGTAGAGCCTCACCCTAAAGCCCAGGAGTGGGTCAGAGCCAGAATAATTGATCTGGGGCATAAGGTCAGTAATCCTATCCTAAACAATGAGATTCAGCCCAGGGATTTTGCCAGATCAGTAAAACAACACTCTCCCACTAGGTTCTAAGATGTAAGTTTAGAGCTCCTAATGTAAACTGTGACCATGTGAAAACAGCCTGTCAGGAATAACGTTAACGTTAAGAAAAGCCCAGCCATGTTACAATGACTGAGCCTGTATACGACCCCAGACTTTCCAGTTGCATGAACCAATCAGTCTTTCCTGGTTTTGCTTGTGCTGGTTTGATTGAGTTTCTGTCACTTGTACTCTTAACAAATCCTGATCCATAAAGTCAGCCTAGAGAAGACCTGCGACCATTTTTTAACATTACAGTTTCTTTTATGTATTTATGTGATAGTGTTGTTTCACGCTGCTTTATTGGGTAGGATAGATAGATGTAATAGGCAGATTTGGGAGCCACATAAGAAAAAAATTTCCTAACAGTCAAAACTCTCTAACAATGAATAAAGTTTGCACCTATAACTGACAACACTGATGCAAGTAGTATGGATCTGTGAGGGTTAGTGAGGAAATTAGCCTAAACAGAAGGGAGAAGGCAATGTCCAAGGGGACAATGGTCCTCTCCAGTTCTCAGGTTTTCTGATTTCCTCCCACTCTGAACATTTATCTCTTTAACACTGCCCTCCCCTCAATCAGCAGCACACTTCAGACCTAGCTCTTCTTTAATAATGAGACTCAAAGAGGAAATCTCACTATTAAGTAGTGTGAATACCTGCATCATATTAAGCAGATGTATGCAGATCCAATTTAAAGAAAGGAAGTCAACCAGCATTTCTTTATAATTAATTACACACGAGACTCCTTATCTATGTCCTAAGAAACCTTGCCAAGTATGTATTATTTAAACCCATTTTATAGGGGCACCGGGTGGCTCAGTTGGTTAAGCGTCTGCCTTCAGCTCGGGTCATGATCCCAGGGTCCTGGGATGGAGCCCCACATCGGGCTCTCTGCTCAGCAGGGAGTCTGCTTCTCCCTCTGCCCCTCTACCTCCACCCCTGCCTCCCACCTGTGCTGTCTCTCAAATGTATAAATGAAAATCTTTAAAAAAAAAAAAAGGAGGGGGGTGCCTGGGTGGCTCAGTCAGGTAAGCATCTGCCTTCAGCTAAGGCATGATCTCAGGGTCCTGGGATCGAACCCCACTTGGGACTCCTTGCTCAGCGGGGGGCCTGCTGCTCCCCCTGCTTGTGCTCTTGCTCTCTGTCAAATAAATAAAATCTTTAAAATAAAATAAAAAAAAACAACTTTATGGATGATGAAACTGGCTCAGAGGGACTCCCCACAATTAAATGCTGTTTCTACAACATCATTCTATTTTTTTCTTTTCCTCTTCATCTTCTTCCCGGTCATTATGCAAAGTGTGCTAAATATAATAGTGAGTTGTGTTTGTTTGGAATATTACATGCTGAGTACATACTAAGGCAGGACACTTACAAAGCAAGAAAGGCTCCCTGCCCAGACCCCTACAAGTAGGAAAACAACTGCCTTAGGAACTATTGCTAGCACACATAATTTGGCACGATTTTATTTATTTATTTTATTATTTAGCGGGAACAAAGCGGGGGAATACTCATTGTTGTTACATCATCCTTGAGGCCCATGGCATTCTATAAGGACAGAAGGCTGGGACCGGAGTAAGCAGCAAGATCAAGAACAATGAAGAGAGGCCATCAGCAGAGCAAGTGTGAAGGGGAAGAAAGAGATTTTCAGTGGGAGCTCAAGGCAAGGCGGTAGCAGATGCTAGTCCGGTCCTCTGTGTCAGAATCTAATTAGGCATTGTGCGTGGGAATCACAAAGAAAGCGGAATGTCGGAGGATTGGGCCATATGCCGAAATGCTCCACCATCAATATACACTTAAGAATATAGGACCTTTTTATAGTTTCTGTTTTGTTTTGTTTAAGTTTAGAGGCAATACATGGATTTTTTCTAATGTTCGAGGAATAAAGCCTGCTGGAGTGGGAACACCTGGGAATCAGCAGCCAGCTCTACATCCACCCCCCGGGGCTGGCCACATTTTTCAGCGGTCCTTCGCAATCCCTGACTAGCAGCTGGTGTGGGTCAAGGGATGACTTGGGTTCCTTCCTGCCTGCCCGCTGGCGCGCACACGCTCCATATTTGGTCATCCCTGCTCCAAGTTTGGGAGCTGGCCCGGAAGGGGTCCCAAGCTCCTGTCCCTTGCAGGCCATCACACGGTCACCACCCGCACCAGTGCAGGATTGGGGAGCGCGGGACTCGGGGGGGCCGGGGCCGCACGGCGGGCTCCAGGGTAGCCCCCGAGGGAAGGGCCGCGTCCCGGAAGCCTTTGTCTCTGCCAGTCCCGCGCCAGCGCCGCCCGCCCGCGCTCCCCTGTGGCCGGTGCGCCCCGGCGAGCTGCGAAAGCCAGCGCCCCAACCGGGCGACGGAAACGGACCCCGCCCGGGGCTCCCCGAGCCCCTGGTGTCTCTCACCACCCCCGCCCTCCACCCCCACGGTCTGGAGCGTAGGGAGCCGCACCCCACCGCCGGCGCCGGAGAGTCCCGGGCGCGGGGGCCACCGCAGTCCTCGGGGGAGCCTCTCCCTTCGTTCCCGGCCCTTCCCCACCCGGCTCTGCAGAACGCGCCCCCGCGCCGCCTGCAAGTGCAAAGCCGACGAGCCGCACCGCGGAGGAAACCTTCGCGCGGCTGCCGGCTTCCCGGTCGCCCCCGGCCGGCACCGTGTCACGTGAGCCGATGCGGAAGTCGGCGGGAGAATCGGGGGCGTGGGGGCGCGCCCACCCGGTCCCCCGCGCGGGGTCTCAGCCCAATTCCAGGTACAATCTCCACGCACCTCGGCCCCTCCCGGCCCCATGTCCCCACCCGCAGCCCCCGATCTCCCGTCCGCCTGGCCTCCACCGGACACCTCCGTCCATCCTTTATACCTGCCTGTCACCTTCCCGAGAGACCCGCTCACCTATCCGCCTCTTTTTCTTTTCCGAGGAAAAGCTGGTGCAGCGTCGGTCCGGACCGGGTTATCTTCTTCAACACACCGAGGAGGAAGAGAGTGAGGAAGGAAGTGACCGAGGCAGAAGAGAAAGGCTGGTGAGGAGGAGGGGGGGTGGGAGGTAAGAGTTTAAGCGCTCGAGAAAGGGGCCGCCCACACTCCCAGGGACAAGCCTATGAGGAGGAAACTCCCCGGAGGAGACGCCCGGGAAGGGGGCCGACTCCAGACAGGTGACAGGGCGCCCGAGGCTTCTAGGAATACGGACTCGAACTTCGATTGCTGCCACCTTTCCCCTACGCCACTCGGTGACGATGATCCCCAACCCCCGCATCTGATCCTGGGCATAGATTTCCTGCCAGGATCTCTCTCCTAACGAAAGAAATAAAGCGCCCCCAATGTGATAACTGCTGGGATCCAGAAGGAACGTGACATTGGTTCTGTATGCCAGGAGCAGGGGTCTCCAGAAAACTAAGAACATGGCAGCAGCATAGTCTGATGGCGGGGGGGGGGGGGAGGAGCATTCTTAAAATCCAACTTGTTCTATTGCAAAGAAATTTTACTCGGACAATGCTAGTTCTTGATCCTGAGTGAATCTTTCTTCTTTTTTCATTCATTATTTCCTACATTTAACTGCATAGTTCAATCGATCTATTTATATTCCCTTTATTTTACTCGGTGTGTTTTACTCGCGCGCCAAAGAGAGAGAGATGCTTGCTATACCCAGAATCCCTTATAAAAAGGAAACTGGGGCTCTGCTGAAATGACCCAAACTATTCTTAAGGCAAAGGTTGTACAAATAACACAAAAAAGCACCCCCTGCCTACCCAACGGCTGATTAGATCATGTGATCACGTGACCCAAGAGCACACAATCCTTAAACTGGCCATCATCCTAGAAGGTGACCTGGAGCAAACAATCCTCACCAAATAGGGACTCTGATAATTAAGTAAGCCAATCAGATTCTCCCTTGGAAATTGAACGGGGAGAGCAAAGAATGAGGTATTCCAAAGAAAGACTGAAGCTGAGAGAGGGCTTGAGGCTGGAGTAGAGAAAATGGGTCTCCAGAAAGCAAAACACTGGAGTAAGCAGAAAGCCCCTGGGATAAAGTAGAAGGTGGGTGGGGGCAGAAATGGTAGAAGCAAACTCTAAGAGAAGCTGAGACCCAGTGATGGAATAAGAGCAACAAACACTTGCTCTCCAGGGGGATATGAGTATCCAGGTCCCTAAGGCTGCACTGGATCTGTCCACTTTCCAAACTGTATTCTAGTTACCCTTTCATAGTAAACACCCACCACTCTGGGCATCACTTTGAATGAGTCTCTGTTCCCTACCACCAAAAGATTCTGATTCAGCCTAGGTTTCCCATGTCAGATGAAGGATAAAGTGACTCTGAGATCCTTTGGGGCCTATCTTTTTCTCACAAAGCTCAGAAGTTACACTTTAATATCTTTCAAAGTCTACAGAATGCAAAATTATAATTCAAGAAATTAACATGTTTAGCAATTCTCCAAGCAGAACCTGGCTATTTGGCCTGTGGCAGTGATCACGGTTCTCCAATTGGATAATATCCAGTGAAATGAATAATCAGTCCATAGTGTGCTACCCCTGTTATGACTAAGTAATTAGTGTTTCACAATACTCTACCAATGGGCAAAAAAAAAAGAAACATTTCACCTAAACAAGGAAAAGTCCCTATTCATGTAAAAATGGAGTCTTTGAAAATAACATAACTTTGAAAGTAACATAACTCATGTGAATCTATAAGGAATTACAATTCAAGAAGGTTGTTTCTGATGAAAAATATTAAAATGTTTGTCAATTCATATTTTTCATACCGAATTCCTATTCTTTCAGTTTCTATACAGACTTTTGCCATCTTTCCTTCTTCTCTTAGGAATGTTATCATGTAGCTAAACAATGTGGAATTTTTAACTTAAAAAGCAAAAAAAAATTTTTTAACTTAAAAAGCAAAAAGTAAAGTTTATTAAACGGTTAAGAAGTATTTATTAAATATCAAGGATATGCCAACAACAGTGTGTCAGTATTGGAGGGTACAAAGTAGCCTACAGCATGATCTTTGTCAAAAAGAACTTTCAGTAAGGTACATATGAAGTATTAAGACAATCCTTATCTACTTATTTAATTGTAGAATATAGACCAGCACTGTCCAATAGAAATATAATCATGAGCCACATATGTAATTTAAAATTTTCTATTAGCCACATTAAAAAAGTGAAATCAATTTTAATAATATGTTCTAAACCAGTATATCCAAAATATTATCATTACCACCTGTACAACTTATTAATGAGATATTATACATTCTTTGTTTTGTACTAAGCCTTTGACGTCTACAGTGTATTTTACAATTATAGCACATTTCAGGTGCTCAATAGCCTTATATGGCTGGTGGCTACTGTATTAGTCAGTGCAGCTATAGACAATTCCAGAATAAAGCATGACATACATGCTAATAATTTTACTTAATAAATTACATGGTCCTGGAATGAGAAAAATTATTATATTTAAAGGTTCATGACAAATTGAGGTATTCATTTTTAAAACATAATTGTCTTCTTTGTAATGAATAGAAAGCAATATTTATAAGAAATCTTGAGGATAGCAATTGTATCCTGAGTATATACCCAAGAGAAAAGGCACAAAGATTCATCAAAGGATATGACAGAAATAGTCACGTTGCACTATTCATAATATTTCTAAACTAAAGCTACCGAAATGCCCAATAACATTGGAATGGTTAATAAATTGTGGCATATTCATAAGCCGGACAATTATCCACCAAGGAAAAGATACGACCAATAACTACATGCAACAATATAGGTGAACCTCACTAACACAGTGTTGAGTGAAATGATCCTGACTGCTCTTCTTTTTACGTAAAGTTTTAAAAGCAGGCAAAACTAATCAGTGGTATTAAAAGTTAGGGTAGTGGTTATCTCTGCTGGGTGGTGGGGTGACTAAAATAGGGCATGATGGGGGCTTTAGGGGGTGGTGATAATGTTCTGCTTCTTGATCTATTTACTGGTTAAACAGATGTTTTGCTTTGAGAATTCACTAAGCTGGACACTTAATTTTTTTTCTTGTGACTATGTTCTTTCTTAATAAAACATTAAGAAATATATAAAGCGTAGAGGATCTTGACCCAGCAAGTTCTATTCCAGGAATGTAAGGATTATTCAACAACATTCAAAAATTTAAAAGTCCCCTATGGCTAAGAGTCTTTAAGTTTTATCTTATTCTGTAAAGTGAGATTTCTCAGTTGGACCTGTCATTCTAGCTCAAATTGTCATCACCTTGTGCTCATGTTAGTGTTAAAGATGGTAGTATTATTAATGATGATTGCATGCCTTGGGCATTAATTCTGGATCCAGTTGTGGTACTGTTTGAGTACTTTGGGTGACACAAAGAAGTAAAAGTAAAATCTGTGCCCTCAAGAAATAATGAAAAAGGACTATATATCATAATCAAGTGAGATTTATTCCAGGAATGCAAAATTGGCTCAACAAATGGAAAATAATCAATGCAATACAATACATTAATAGAATAAAAGGGAAAATCCACATAATCATCTCAGTAGATGAAAAAAAGCTTTTGATAAAACACAGTACTCTTCTGCAATAAAAACCTTCAACAAACTAGGAAAAGAAGGGAATTTCCTCAACCTAATAATAATAAGGGCAACTACAAAAACTCATAGCTAGCATCATCCTTAATTGTGAAAAACTAAAAGCATGTCCCCTAAGATCAGGAACAGGACAAGAACATCTGCTAAAGAATTCACAAAAAAAAGGGGCACCTGGGTGGCTCAGTCGGTTAAGCGTCTGCCTTCAGCTCAGGTCATGATCCCAGGGTCCTGGGATTGAGCCCCGCATGGGGCTCCCTGCTCAGAGGAGAGCCTGCTTCTCCCTCTCCCTCTGCCTGCTGCTCTGCCTACTTGTGCTCTCTCTCTCTGTGTCAAATAAAGAAATAAAATCTTAAAAAAAAAAAAGAATTCACAAAAAAAAGCTTTTAGAGACAATAAGCCATTTCAGCAAGGTTGCGGGATCTATCAGTATATAAAAATCAGTTGTATTTCTTTTTTTTAAGACATTTTTTCTTTTTTTTAAGATTTTATTTATTTGGGATAGAGAGAGAGAGAGAGAGTGCACGGGCAAAAGGGAAGGACAGAGGGACAAGCAGACTCCCCGCTGAGCAGGGAGCCCTAGGACACAGGATTCAACCCCAGGACCCTGCGATCATGACCTGAGCCTAAGGCAGGTGCTTAACCAACCGAGCCACCCAGGCGCCCCATTCAGTTGTATTTCTATATACCAGCAATGAATAATCTGAAAATGAAACTAAGAAATAAATTTTGTTTATAACAACATGAAAAAAATAAAATTCTTAGGAATAAGTTTAAAGAAGTACAAGACTTGTATACTTGTACAAAATATCGTTGAGAGAAAAAATTTTAAAAATCTAAGTAAATGGAAAGCCATCCTGTGTTCACAGGTTGTAAGGCTTACTATTGTGAAGATGGCAATATTTCCCCAAATGATCTACAGATTGAAGGCAATCCCTATCAAAATTCTAACTTTTTTTTGACAAGCTGATCCTGAAATTCATAGAAATGAAAGGGATCCAGAGAGCCAAAAGAATCTTGAAAGAGAAGATCAGAGTTGGAGGACTCACATGCCCTGATTTGAAAGCTTGCTATAAACCAATAGTAAGTAATGTAAAACCTACTACAAAGGTACAGTAAGTGGTACTAAGGTATATAGAAAATGGACTAGAATTTACAGTCCGGTAATAAACTCATCGTACGGTCAATTGATTCTTTTTATAAGGGTGCCTAGACTATTCAATGGGGGAAAGAATGGTATTTTCAACAAATGGTGCCGGAACACTGGATATCCATATGGAAAATAATTAATTAGATCCTTATTTCATATAACATGTAAAAACTTAAAATGGATCAAAAACTTAAAATGGATCTCCTTAAAATGTAGGCGAGGAAACTATAAATCTCTTAGAAGACATGGGTGTAAACTGTCATGACCTTGGATCAGGCAACATTTTCTTATATATGACACCAAAAGCACAAGCAACGAAAGGAAAAATAGATAACCTGAATTTCATAAAAATTAA